AAACTAAATGAAAAAACTAATGAAACTTTCAGAACTACTGATAATAAAGCTGGTTTTGATATGGGACAAACCTCACTTAAGTATTGTTAGAAATTCGGCACCAAGAGTCAGGAGACTGGAGCTTCAGCGTTGACTGGAGTTTATTTCCACATACAGAGTATGGGTACAGCGTAGTCAATCAGCAGTCAATCAGCAGTATCAGGAGTCTAGTCTTATTCACGTACATGCAGACAGTCATGCACGGGCACAGCTTGGTCATCAGTGTGTCACTAGTCTGGTCTGGTCACCAGTCTAGTCTAGTCCAGTCTGCAGTCCAGTCTAACAAAAATATTTTGGAAGGACCTTATATACTTTGAAAAACTAAAGAGGGGAAAGGGGGAACAAAAGGACTTTGAGGAGGGGTAAGGAGGGGTTGTAGACGGGGGGTATGAATAGAGATGTAGGGGGCAGAGATAAGGGGGGGGGTGATAGTATCACCTTAAGGTCATGAGACGAAGGGTCATTTAAATACAAACAAAGGAGGGAGGGGGCAAGGTGAGAGTTAAGAAAATAACATAAGGGAAAATAACATATATTGAGAATATTTTCTCTCAGTATCGAGCCTGAAATGTTGTGCACTTGGGTCATAAAAATAATTATTTCACTAACTTACATGAGCTTTAAAACATGAGCTAGGTGTTGAAAACACTTCTTTTCAACTATGAATAGCTGTAATATGACTACTCACATAAAATACAGTGTAGACTGATCACACAGTTCTTAACCATCACCTGCACTTTAAACATGTATATTGTGTATTTGTCATGTATATTTGTTGTTCTGTTAATTTTTCTTTTCATCTTTTGTACTTATTGTTCTGTATATCTATAGGCTACTTGACATGATATTAACAGGCTCTTCTTTAATTCCACAGACATTTAGTATCACTTTTGCTTCTAAGCTGCATGCTGGTACTGAGATTTGGATGAAGAATTTTAAAATCTTGGATTAGGCATTGAAAAACGCCTCTTCTGAATAACTGCAATATGACCTAACATGTTTAACAGGCTTTTCCAGTCTCAATATTCGTGAAACTCTGCTTTTTTCTTTTGCACTTTCATGGCCCAGTGGCCTAATGGATAAGGCATCAGCCTCCGGAGCTGGGGATTGTGGGTTCGAGTCCCATCTGGGTCATTCTTCTACTCTCCAACACTATGGCTGAACAACAATGTCCACCTTGGTGTGGCACACCCTTGATCCAAGCCAACTTTTAAAAAGCCCACCCTGAGTTGAAAAGGATGTGTCTAAAATGTGCAGGACGGTGGGGCCAAGGACCAGGACCAGGATTGGGAGCCCCTCGTAAAGTAATAAACTGCTAACATGAAGAAAATTAGCCCAAAGTACCTGAATAGAGACAAGATTCTTATATGTAAATAAACCAATAACTGCTGGTTCCCATCTCAGTTCAAGAACTCCATTTCTGCTCTATTGAAATCTGTCCTGTATTGTCCCTGGGGGATACTCAACTTCCCCCATATTTATACTTGATAACAGCACCATTGATGATGAGGCCTACACCAGGGGTGCCCATCTCTGCTCCTGGAGATCTACTTGACCAACAGGGTTTAGTTCCAGCCCTAAACATACCTGACCTAGCTAAGTCAGGAGCATGTGAACACGATAGGTAGATGTGTTAAGTTAGCGCTGAAACCAAACTTTGCAGAAGTTGACAAACTACAGTCAGTAGTCCGATCACAGAATTCCATCTTGGAATTGGAGTTGGAGGTGTTAAAACTTTGGCCAAAAGACGCTGGCAGGTACAGAGTGAACTGAGGGAACTGAGTGTATATTCCTTGTTAGAGAGAAGCCAGTAACACTACACGCTGTTACACAGTATGCTGTTACACAGTATGCTGTTACACAGTATGCTGTTACACAAATTCCAAATTAGGCCACACAACAGAACACCCAATATTATATAATATTATTCTTGGTTGGCATTTGAAGAGAGCTCGTACTTGAGGAGAAAAGGGCAGGAATGCAACAGGCATGCCTGAGGTATAGCCAGTGTGGTCCAGTGGCCTAACGGACAAGGCGTCTGCCTCTGAAGCTGGGGATTGTGGGGGTCGTCCTAAATGTTTCCTAGTTCTTCTGGATGGGTGTTGCTGCTGTCAAGGTTAAAGCCCCATTACAAGATGTTGAAATCTTTACCATACTGGGTGGCTGGTAAGCTGTTTGTGTACATAGTCCTGAGTCCTTAACTGCATTAGGGCCATGATGTAACTGCACATAACTGATGTTGAATGAGCTGCTTTTTTCTACCATCACTTGATTTGGAAGTAAATTGGCAAGGGTGGCATTTGATTGTCAGTGGTCAAATTTGTGTGTGTGTGTGTGTGTGTGTGTGTGTGTGTGTGTGCGCGTTTGATTTTTTTTTTTCTACAGCTGTAACAATGCTTGCAATTCTAAATTTAAACTAATATGAGGTGATGTTTACTGTAGTGACATGTACAAAAAGTTACGAATGTATTCCAGCTCAGTTGCTGTATGTCTAATTCAGCTGTTGAGAGCTTTGTACATAAGCTTTTCTGGATGTGCTGTTCTCTCCAAGTTTATCATGAACACAGAGCAGCCAGCAGAGGAGCCTGTGTGACAACCAAAACTGAGAACACTGCTAATCAGAGAAAGCAGCATGTCTTCTTTATCACAGCATACTCAAACTATTGTTGAACGGTATTCTTCACCTCCTTAAGCTCTTACTCTTTTTTTTTCTTTCCCTGAACATCACTCTCTTTCTTTCTCTCCTCTCATCCATCTTCTCGATCTTTGCTTCAGCTGTCTAATTCACATCACTACCCTTCATGTTCTCTATCTCCATTTTAGGATCCTGAAGTGTCTGAGAGGCAAAAAGAGAAAATCCAGTATAACTGCTAAACATATTCTTTGCTTATATTCAAACAGGGCAACACACTCTGCAGCTCAACCAGATACCTTTTTACCATCCCCATGGTTGGGAAGACTCCTGCCTTTGTCACTGTGGTCTGTGGTGCACCTTGAAGCATTAAGCAGCCCAGGGAAGCCAGGAGGGATCTCTTGTATTTAAGGGCTCTCTACCAACCAGCAGGCACCAGCAGTCTTGTCAGTCCTATAACAAGAAATGATGCTGATGTTTGGGAACATTACCACAGCAACAAGTTTAGAGAAAAGAAGAACATGACAAAATACTTTATAATTTATTATTATTATTATAATAATCATTATTATTATTATTATTATTATTATTATTTTAATTATATTTATCATTACAAGGCGACATGGTGGTGCTGTCACCTCAAAGCAAGAAGGGCCTGGGTTTGGTTCCACAGCTGGGTGACCAGGGTCATTTCTGTGTGGAGTTTGCCTGTTCTCCCCGTGTCTGTGTGGGTTTCCTCTGGGTACTCTGGTTTCCTCCCACAGTCCAAAGACATGCAGTCAGGCCAACTGGTACTACTTAACTGCTCCTAGGTGTGACTGTGTGTGTCTGCCCTGTGATGGACTGGTGGCCTGTGCAGGGTGTTTCCTGCCTTCCGCCCAAAGAGTACAGCACACTCTGCCACCCAGTAGGATAAGTGTCCTAGATGATGAATGAATACGTGAATTTATCATTACAACAATAAAATGTCAAACTAAACAGTTAGCTTACTAAGAAATATGCACGGTTAGTGAGATATGGCAGTTATGAAACTAAGTTTATTGAGTCTCTACAATAATCAGGGCTGTTTTTTGCTAGAAGCGGTACAAGCAGTCACTTAGGGCCCCCCAACTGAGTGACACTTTTAAAAACTGAATTCAATATTGTCTGTAAAAAAAGGAAAAACATTAAAAAGCTTTTTTTTACATATAATTACCAAGTAATTAATAAAATAGTAATCATTATGTTTTATTCTTGCAAAAAGAACATGATTAGGATGCGTAGGCCTTTGGAACTAGCCAAGGCTCTGAGATGTAGCCAAGCCCAGAATGAAGCATGGCCACCTTTCGGGCCACCTCCAATAATGAAAAGTGAGACAGTCAACCGTCATCAGTCAGCCATCATTAACAAAACATCAATTATGCTAATGGTGAAAATCTGCCATTGTAGCTCTGTGAGCTACATCATGAAGTAGGTTAATCAATGGTAAGATGAGTTATCTATCAAAAATGAATCAGTCACAAAAGTTTATCATGCAAATTTCTCTTTATAGTTGAGTTGACATGTGTTGTAGGTTAGCTTATACACACATAATCGTACCATAATTGTACCATAAGATGTACTGACTCTACACACTCCGTCTCGTCTCCAGGTTTTCTTTTTTTATTGTTCTGTTTTAAAAAATTAGGTTATGAAAAGACACAAATATGTACTTTTCCTCTGGGGAAAACTAATTTAAGGTACACAGTAGGAACCACTTAAAACCACTGTTGTACCTTTGAGGGTACATTTACATTGTTTGTACCTTGATGAACGAAAAGTGTACCAGCCCAGAGCCTTTATTTCTAAAAGTGTAGCGAGACTAGTCTAAATTTGTAATCTTCTGTCTATGTTAAATGTTTTTTAATATTGTGCACTAAAAAGTGGTTTGATTTACTTGATTCAAACACATAATTTCCTCCAGAATTACTATTAATGTTCCACGTGTTATATCAGTCAAGACAGTTTTGTCATTCAGTTTACTTTTGGCAGTAATTGTCTTTACTCATGTGGAAATGATGGACAGACCTAATCGTTTACAGAGGAAAAAACAACACATCACTTCTTATGTCATTTTAATACGGTAACACTCTTTTTTGCGCCACCTCAAAAACTGTCCGGGTCACACCTGGCCGCCCAAAACCTCTCCGAAACGGCACCTGCAGAAACGTCCCTAACAATAACACGGAAAAGGTTAAAAGTGTAGTCCCGCCCACAAAGCTACGCCCGCTGCGCTGCGATTGGCCAGCGCTTTCTCGCTCCTTGCGCTGGATTGGTGCAGGTCTGTCGTAACTAGGGTGGGAAAAAAACGCCTTCGCTAACTCAGCTGCTATCAGCGCCGCACTAACATGGTCAGCACGTTATCGCGTCCATTGACTTAACTATAGAAACTAACCGCCTACTGTGGAAACAGAGCAGCATACAGAGATTAACACATTTATCCTGCTCTGCTGTTCAGACTCGCTGAAGTGAGTTCAGTCGAATTTCTCTTTAGCCTAAACTTTAAAGCGACGGCGGTCGTCTCTCTCTCTCTCTCTCTCTCTCTCTCTCTCTCTCTCTCTCTCTCTCTCTCTCTCTCTCTCTCTCTCTCTCTCTCTCTCGATGATTCTTCGCTAAGTCCTCAAGTGCTGCTGCTTCAGGTAAGGAGGGCATTTGCCTTAAGCTTTTTTATTTTTGCATCAGCAAACTGGCCTTTAACTGAAATCCATTCCATTAATCTATCAGTCTATTATATGTAAATGATAAAGCTCCCCTTCACTATACAACTGAAAAGTGATCCGGGTAATTTACTTTCAATGAATTAATTTTTTTCATAATAAAAGTTTATTTTAATAAGTTTTTTACGTTTTCTAATATTATTCCGCCAAACGACTAATCAAAAGCCAAAAAATGCTGCCTTTTTAAAATTTTAATTATTATTTTTTTTTAATACTGTAAGTCTGTTCCCTGCTGCCTAGCATAAATTCCATGCCAGTTCTGGTGCTGGTTTGTTTGGTCACCCAGCAGGGTCATGCTGGTTGCCCAGCATACCAGCATTCGAAACGTAACAAACACTGGATTTGCTGACCTATGCTGTATTTTTTCGTAGCAGGGTTGTGACCTACTTATTTCATTAAATTAGTAAAATAAAAAAAAAAGACCAAAAATGCACATTGTTTATATATTTTAGTCGTTGCCCTGTTGGTCACTCAAACTAACTTTCACAAGGACATCACAACTAATAACAGCATAACATATCATTTCTGTGATGCATTAATATTTGCATTGCTTTCCCATGCAGGGTTTATTTTAGTTTCATTTTGTAGGAGCATGCCTCCTGGGTATTTGCTGATAGCCAAACGCAACAGGAAGCCCTTATCAATTGTTTATGGCAGTGCCTGTTATCATGATCAAATGTTAGAAGAAATCAGATTGCACTGATGATGAGGGCATTAAGCAATGTCACTTTTAAAGAAAGTTAGTAGTACATTGATAAGTGAAGGCGCTTTGTTTTCTCTGCAGATTAGTGTTTTTTAATGTGCAATAAGTGTATCACAGCCTTGTGTGATGAAGGAGGTAGACAAGCCTTTGCACACAGATATGGCTTAGTTGTGGTTTCAGTCAGTTGCAACATCTGCAGAAATTTGACTTTCTCTGTTAGAGAGCATTTTCTTTCCTGCAGTTTGGCCTAAATAATACCGGAGCATGAGGACTTGTGCCTGGGTGTACTGTATTCGAAGGCCTACTTTTTCTTTTACTCATATACACATACGTTGGCCTCTTTCATGTACCACAAAACCAGACCCTCTTGTGTCTTAGGTCAGATTTTTCCCCGCTGGTTCCCGTCGACGAAGGCGTACGTAAAAAAGATGTCAATGTCAACTTTTTTCAGAAAATTGTAATCATAGGCATTTGTTACAGGCACAGAGTTGCTTGTGGTATTTGGTGGTTTGCTTCCTATCTTCACCTCATCTCTGTTACTTTGGAAATTTCTCTGCTAAATGCTACCACAAATGCTCCTACTATTTGTCCTGGCATAAACTTCCCTTTACGGTTCAGGTATTGGCAGTAAAGAGGAGTTGTTATTGGTCGTTAGTAGACAATAATTGTCTTACAAAGTGAGGATTACAAAATCAGGGTTTATAGGCTAACCTAGACTGCCACATAGCCTGTGGCTAACATTCCTGTGTTTGTCTGGGCTGATGTAAGACCAGTTTTGCTGATTTTTTGCCATGCTTCTAAGAAAATTGAGTATATTGCAGAAGAATGTTATTATATACTGAAAAAATAGACAGAATAAGTTGGAATATATTTTGAATATTAAGGATTTTTGTATGTTTGGCTGTAATTAGATATTTTGTAATATGTTGTCAATAAAAAACTTTATTAATTGTTAATAAATTTAAAAAATATATAATATAGTGTCTTTTTGTATGGGTGGCTGTGGTGAGATATACTGCAATATGTTGTCAATAAATTCCAAAATACAAATAGAATATACTGTGAACTATGTTGAAGATATTACATTTTTCTGGGTGGCTATAGGGCAGGATGGATCAGCAAAAAATGCTTGCATAATTTCTCTGACATGTTTGGGTTTTTATGTAGACCCCGTAGCCGCATGGCATTCCATAGTCAGCAGTGCGAGTCACTCAACTATCCTGAGGAAAACGACGAGACGCTAAGCGAGGTGTTCCAGACTGGACTACACTCGAGACTGCACAGCCCTAAGGCCTCCACTGACCACGCCATCCCAATGCACAGAACAATGGAAGGACCGCCATTCAGCCACCAACACTTTCCCATGTGCCATGACTTCCCTCAGTCCCCCAATGATCAGTTTTCCAGATACAATCAGCAGACACCTTACCCCAGCCAGGCCGATGCTAACAGGGTAGACCCGGAAGCCCACTGGCACTACCCCAGCTACCGCAGCAGAAACTCTGAGGGATGTTACACAAACAGCCTGCCGTCCTACCTGCCCTCCAAGGACTACCGCAGCTTCCCTGGAGGCGGCTGCTTCTTCACCAGCGGGCCGCACTCTTTCCCAGGCAGACACAGCCCTGGCATCAGCAGCCTGGAGCAGCCCAGGTCTCTACACTCCTTTCCCCCAGCTCCGTCTCTGCACACACATCATGCTATGCCCTTTCCTGGCCTTCATCCCAACATGCCCTGCTGGGGTCAGTGTGGGCCAGTCCCGCTCCGAGTAGGCCACCCCCATCATCTCAGCCCTGGACCTGGATACCACCTGCCCTACAACAGAGGTAAACAGCAGATCAGATACATTTATTCACTTCCATGTGTTTAAAGGATAATTTGGCGAAAAAATATACTGAATTTTTTTTCCCCTAGAAAAGTAATTACTTTTACAGTGAGTATACTTTGAGTTAAGTTCTACTAAGGAGACATATGTTGCTGCAGACATGAAAAAATAGTATATATGGAAATAGATTTTCAGTATATTAATTTTTTGTGTGGATTGATAAAAGTAGGCATATTGCAGTATGTTGACAATATGTACCAAAATGACAATAGCATATGTCGGAGTATATTTGTAAAATATTGCATTTTTATGGGTAGCTATAGTTGCATATATTGCTATATATTGTGTATTGTATTGCAGAGTTTAAAGAGTAAGTTCTATTGAAGACAGCCGTGTGGCTGTATTGTACTTTGTCCATCTCTGGAAGTTTATTTCTTTGGTTTTGCTCTAGAGCTACAAGGTCAATGTAGCTTAGGACAGTTATACTCTGCTACTTAGCATTGAACAGACTGCATGCCTCGTCTCTAACTCATCACAGATTTTCCTGTCGAGTTGTAAATCAATCTCAAAGACTTGCTGAGGTGGTTTCTGACCTGGTTTGACACACTGCTATCTATAAAAACAAGTACATCACAGCTAAAAACAGTAGTGGCAGCCATCATGAGGCCTGAATTTTTGTCTGACAAATACATTTGAAATGTAATTTGGAAACTTATGTAAATTATTTTTTTGTTGAGCTGCTGCTGTAACTTTAATTGTTGTTTCCAAATGCCAACAGTTTCTGCTTGAATGTATTTATAAGTAAGGGAATCTGTTTTTTTACTCAGTTCTGTCAGTTCCTAAGTCTCTTTTTTGGGTTTTATTTAATTGTGCTGTGTTGGGTCAGCTTACGGACTGCTTTACTGTTGCCAGCGGTAAGAAACAGTTTCTGTGCTGATGGATGTTGGATGTTTTGTTAGTATTGTTCTGATCTTAAAGTAAGCAACGTCTACTCTAGTTGTTATTTCACTTCCACTTAAGATTTTTATGTCATTATTCTAGCAGTGCTTCTATGTGAGTGTGCGTTTAGGTTACTCCACCTGTCTGTGGCCTGCAGGCTCACAGTATCTCTACGGCGTAAGCTCACAGCACTGCTCGAGCAGTACATCTTAAACGCTTTTGGAATGCAGTCATTCAAGGGTAGAATTATGGCACAGGTACTTGGAAGGCGCTTGACAAGCACAGACATTTTCTGCCATGTTACAAACGCAAGTAGGTTTAATAAATTCCACTGTGTTTATCACGGGTGTTTTCGTCTCACAGGCCCAGAGCACTACAGACACGGACATGCAGGAAGCACTGAAAAGTGAGTCATCTGAACAGAATTGGTAATAATAATAATAATAAAAAGAATATTTTTTACAGTACAATTGAGTTAAATTTTGATTTGATAGCAATTTTCAATTGTTCCTACTTTGTTTTATTCAAAAAACACAAATTTGTATCTTAACAAATAAATTACCTGTTAAATCATTAAAGTGCTTTTATTAGTTGAATGTGTTTGAAAAGGATTTCTACCTTAATTAATTAAACTCAAAAGCCCCAAATACAATCCCACACTTCAGTTCATCTCTCTCAGAACTACATAACTTTACTGAATAATTTGTAGTAGTTACCAAATCATTTATAGCAGTTACTACATAATTATACAGTAGTAGTAACCCTACAGGTTAAGGGATTCAGTGTGTTTCATTGAGGAAATGAAATAGAAAAAAGCTCTGAGTAATATTCTCTCACTTTCCCTGCGGTCAGACTGCGCTTGACTGTAAATCTTTTTGAGTGTAGACTGTGCTGTAGCCACTGAAAGCTTTCTATTTTATGTCTAATCGAGCTTTCCTCTGTGCAGTGGACGCGTCTCTCCCAGACCAAGGCAGGAGAGTCCCTGCAGCTCGCAGCTCTCCCAGGAACAGAGTGAGTGCTAATGGCTTAATGAGCTACTGAGGCATATTAAACAAGACCTACTGGCTTTTCCACTTTTGCACTTAAGCACAAAATATCAGCATGAGCTGAGAAAAGAGCTGCAGTGAATTTACTTTTAAATTCAAATATACCTTATTTTCCATTAATAGAATATATTACATCAACACAGTTTGGTGAATTAGTTTGGTGAATTAGTTTAGAGTCATAAAGTGGATTGATGTATGTATCTGAAGAAGAATTATTGCCATTTTGTAATATTAATCAGTTACAGTACTGTGCAAAAGTCAGAGACCACCATTCACTTATTTAATTTCCAGTTAAAATGGCCAATAAGCATAAATCATTAATTTTTCAGGTATCTTTTTGAGGAGATTAGGTATTATGGCCATAAGCAAAGGAAGGGAAAGTGAAAGGTAAATAAGTAAAAAAAACAGAAAAAAACAAAGACCTGGTAGACACCAAAACTGCCCCTATCAGATAAACCAGACTTAAAGCTTTCATCTTTGAGAGAGAGGAGAAAATCAAGCTGCTTCAGATCTGAAAACATCCACAGGTGTTTCTGTCCATCTTTCCACTGTGAGAAGACGACTCAATGCAATAGATCTGAAGGAATGTGTAGCTGTCAAGACGCTCTTACTGAGAAAAGGAAATAGACAAAAACAGAAGCTGGTGGTGTTCACATAAGAAAGGAGTGACCATTCCAGAGTCCAGACCTCAACATTACTGAATGTGTTTGGGATTATTTGGATCTTGAGAAGCCAAAAATGCAACCAACTTCGAAGACTGAACTTTGGAGGTGTGGAAAAATGTCTATGCAGATTTCTTTGAAAAGCTGAAAGCAAGACTCCTGAAAAGAACAGAATCTGTTGAAAAGAGGGAAATACTGAAAAATGTGATAATATATTTAATGGTTAGGCCTTCTGTGTAATTTTTGTTAAATATGTGTCTCCTGCTTTTTTGGCACTGTAAAAAGAATAGCTTGTATTTGATGACTGTTTTGACTTGAAATTAAATAAATCAAGGGTCTCTGACTTTTGCACCATACTGGATATTAATTATTATTGGTGTGCAATAACATAAGCATAAATATTTTGGCCAAAACAAAATTCTCAGGCTATTTTCAACACAATACTATGTAAATTCCATAACTGTGTAAATAGTTGAATGGTTCCTATTTAGTGTATTTAAAAGAAAAATCGGAATAATGTGAGATCTCATGATGCACTGAATTATGTCCTACTGATTCGTAACTGAACTGTTATGAGGTCTGAGATTTACACAGCTGCCTTTAATGTATCACTTCGCTCTCTCCGTTTTCTCATTTCTGTTACACGTTTGGAAAACCAGGCCAAGGTGCTTATGAGGTGTCACAGAAACGATCTGAGTCGTCATTGTCACGTTTCGTGTCACAGCTTTTCAACTCTCTCTCTCTTTCACACACAAAGGAAAAGTGTTTGTCACGTATGAGGCAGACAGCGAAGATCACCTGAAGGAGATCATCAAGTTTGTTGCTTTGCTCAGGAACAACGGCTTCGACACACATGTGAGAGGATATGCGTCAGCTTTAGTCGCCCTCGTTTAAAAGCATGTGTAACAGACATGAACGAATAATGATGCGCACTGGTGCTTAACTGAACAGGATCTTTATTTCTGCAGATCGATGTTTTTGAGCAACAGCTGAACAGCATCAGTAAGATTGACTGCATGGAGAGATACCTCAATGAGGTAAACACCTGAGTAAACAGTGAATAACTGCATGTTTACAAACGCAGGTACACACACACACACACACACAAACACACACACACACACATCATCCAAACCGCTTATCCTTCTGGGTCGCGGTGGGGTGCTCGAGCCTATCCCAGCTGTCATTGGGCGGAAGGCAACGCAGGTACAGTTGTACACAAAATGAAATTTAGAAAATAAATGAACACGTTCTCTTTAGAGAACACATTTAAATAATTTGTTCTGTTAATTTTAGTGTTTCCACTTTACAGTTTCCATTTATTTGCTGGGAAACAAATAAGAAAGAAAATATAAAACGTGTCACATTATTCGCACAGGCTACATTTTATGTACATTTTTTTCCAGTATGTTAATTTCAGCAAATCAACCGTAACTGTGCATTAATATGTGCAGAAGTTTGTTCTCTGCAGAAAAAAAGCAACAAAATGCAATTTAATCAGCGGTGCCAAAACTTTCGCACACCACTGCATATGAAGTATTTTACAGTGGCTTCAAACACAGCTCTGCCAATCAGATTTTATGACTGGAACTATCCATTTTATAGGTGGCTTTGCTGTATGTGCAGTGTAGATTTAAAAAAATCATTGTACTCGGAGTCTCAGAGTCGTTTTCATAGCCTTCAAAGCATTTTGTCTGTTTAAACTCATCAAACCTCACAAAAACGAAATTGAGGTGCATTATGTATGGCAAAAATTGTCCACCCCTGTATTGAATGTCTTTATAGTGTAGTTAGTGATACCAGCTTGTTAGCAAACCTCATAAAAACTAAATATCATAATATATATTGTGTATAAATGTCTTTAAGTATCACAATTATTTAACCCTTGTGTGGTGGTGTGGTCTGTGGGACCCGTTTTTAGTGTTTACCGAAAGAAAAAAATGAAGCGATTTATTATTATTATGCCTATTATATATATGCCTTTGCTCATTTTCCGTGAAGAACAAATAAAATAACACATTTTCAGTGCCTTCACACTGTTCACTCCCTACACATTTATATTACACATGTGGTGTTGGGTGAACCTGCGGGAATAACAGTGTGGAGGTGCTGTGTCCTTAACTCTGTTCTCCTCCTACATGGCCTGCTGTTAGTGTGTGTGTGTCTGTGTTTGTATATATATATATGTATGTGTGTGTGTGTGTGTGTGTGTGAGGGTGGACAGCATGGACAGGCTGCTGACTGGCTACAGCTGCTAAAGGAGAATTCTATGCTGGCCACTTGTGATATTTTAAATATCTGGTATTTTTACATTAATTGTTATGGCTGTATTGATTTAAAAAACAATAATGCGGTGGGTCCCCCAGACCACTGAGTAACAAACACATCAACAACACGCAAGGGTTAAGTATCTTTTGCATCAATCACAAAATGGTCATAAAAATATCTTATAAACATAGCATCGACAACTTTGCTTCCAAAAACAGTAAAAAACACACGCCACTCAAACACACATTATAGTGTTATTTATTTATTGTATTATATTTCGTACTCTGTTTCCCCTGTAAATCATACATTTTCAGTTTCTTTATTGTTTAACTTTCGGAAAAAATCCTCCTCCTAAACATTTGCGGTACCATTACCTGAACTATACGTTCTTTTAATTAGCAAACCGAAAGTGGGTGTGGCTTAATCCAGAAATTTGTGTGAGGCACTGGAAGTGGGTATATCTACTGACCACAAGGTGTACTAACGTTAATACCAAGCTTAGACAACCAATCCACACTCTAGAACAAGACTGGAACAAGAATGTGAAGGGACACTTGGGTACGACTGACTACTTAGACACTGAAATTTGGTTCTGAATGATATGGCACATTTTGATACACAGTAGTACTGAATTAATACAGTACCGTAAAAGTATTTCAATACTCAGCCTTAGTTACAAAATCGCCCACCCCTGTGTGTAATTACCAGCAGCCAGCTGTGACTGGAAATGAGGAAAAGTCTTACCTATACCATAATGTTAATCTCTGCTGTGCATAGCACCCCTATGAGATTGTTTGTAGAGGTGGGCGATATGATGATATTTTACCGTAATCATAATCAGTTTTGTTATCTGAATATTAAGGATGCTGTTCTGAGCGTATTGTGGATATCAACCATACTCAAAGAACACTGACCAACTGCATGTTTATTACAAAGAGAGCATATTTAGCCCTGTTTAGTTGGATTTAGAGCAGCGCTGCTTGTAAAAACTTTGATAAAAATCAATGTACCACATTGTGTCTACGTGTCAAAATATTATGATACATATTGTTTATCGAGAATATGTTCTTGAATATTGTGATATTATTGCCATATCGCCCACCCTTAATTCTATTAGTGCGTTAGCACTAAGGCATGTGAACATTTTTTGCCATTCTATATTAAACACAAAAGCTTATAAAAGACATTCTACACTTTATTTGAAACTTGTAACAGACATGTTGGCATAGATTTTTCTTGTATTTAGCAGTTTTCAGTGACTGTCAGTGTAGCACCCTTACTGTAGCTGGCAAATCTATTCTCCATTATTAAAAAGTACTGCCACTTGTGTTCAGTTAGTGACTTATCTAGAACTCCCAGAAGGTCTAGATTGAAGTTATTCCTCTTAAAATTGGACCCACCAACTATAAATCAAAACCTGATAGGTTGATTTCACTCAGTTACTGAAATGATGTTAGTAGCTAATCTGACATGTTAGGCTTTTTGTTAAGTCCTAACCAATGGGAGAACTAGCTTGGCTGTATCTGTCTATATTCAATGGAGGGAAATTCTGATTAGATTAGATTTCTGTTGGGTGGTCCAAGAATTTAACCCACTTTGTTTCCAACCAAAACTTAAACATGATTCTACGAAATAATAAATAAACTAAACATAAAGACATTGATGGAAATCATTAGGCCTTATCTCCCTGGGGGTTCCCCTCCGGTGACCACAGAGCCTTTATTAGTCCTCCTCTCCACACTGTCTGTCTCTGTTTCTGCAGAAAGATTACCTGATTATCATTATCATCAGTCTGAAGTATTTTGAGACAGTGACGGGTGCCAGTATGAGTGTGGAGTGTGATGAGAGGACATCCAACACCGTCTACATTCACAAACAGGTGCGGAATAACTCATTAGTTTGCTCTGTCTGTTAGTGTTGACTTATAGCTGAACCGTAATGAATAATTTAATTCTTTTGATCATGTGTGCTTGTTTGTAAATGTGCTCTTTGTTTTCCGTTCGCCACCCAGCTTCAAAGTGAGTTCATTCAGAACGGCTGTAAGAACTTCAGGTTCATTCCTGTCCTTTTTCCTGGGGCGAAAAAGGTAAACATATCATTGACAGACATTTCTAATGAACATGAGGCAAAAACAACCGGCGCAGTGCATTTTTAATGTTTCATAACACATAAAACAGAGAGGTGTAAGTTATTATTTAATGCCATGCAAATTCACATACTTGTTTAACAGGATTTTTTCATACAATGTCAACTGAAAAGAATGAAACAGCCTGTAGATCAATACAGTTTGAATATAACTCTTATTATTTCTTAGTTTCACATATTCCTAATATGTATGCAACACTACAAATACTCACCTCACCCACATCAGTTACTTATGAATAATACATAACAATTATTATTAGTAGTTTAATCAATAATTTAACCATTTACTGTCTAATTCATACATTCTGTCATGCATTTAGTATGATGAAGGAAAAAATGCCACAGAACTTGTTCCGATTAGTCTAAAGTAATGAAATAGTGTATTGAACTAAATATAAAACTTGTAAAGATGTTATAAACTCTGTTTTTGGCCTGAATATAAAACACATAAAGATGTTATTAAACTCTGTTTTTGGGCTGAATATAAAACATTTAAAGATGTTATTAAACTCTGTTTTTGGGCTGAATATAAAACATTTAAAGATGTTATTAAACTGTTTTTGGGCTGAATATAAAACATTTAAAGATGTTATTAAACTGTTTTTGGGCTGAATATAAAACATTTAAAGATGTTATTAAACTTTGTTTTTGGGCTGAATATAAAACATTTAAAGATGTTATTAAACTTTGTTTTTGGGCTGAATATAAAACACATAAAGATGTTATTAAACTCTGTTTTTGGGCTGAATATAAAACATTTAAAGATGTTATTAAACTCTGTTTTTGGGCTGAATATAAAACATTTAAAGATGTTATTAAACTTTGTTTTTGGGCTGAATATAAAACATTTAAAGATGTTATTAAACTCTGTTTTTGGGCTGAATATAAAACATTTAAAGATGTTATTAAACTGTTTTTGGGCTGAATATAAAACATTTAAAGATGTTATTAAACTCTGTTTTTGGGCTGAATATAAAACATTTAAAGATGTTATTAAACTCTGTTTTTGGGCTGAATATAAAACATTTAAAGATGTTATTAAACTCTGTTTTTGGGCTGAATATAAAACATTTAAAGATGTTATTAAACTCTGTTTTTGACCTGAATATAAAACAATGAAAGTTTTTGTTCTATTAATTTATTATCTATTGAATTTGTTTTAATAATTTGTTCTTCATCCTCAGAGTTATGTTCCATCATGGCTGCAGAACACACACGTGTACAGCTGGCCCCGGGACCGGGATGATATTTTGCGGAGGCTAATGCGGGTGGAAAAGTACAACCCCCCACCCATCGGCCCGCTGCCCACCATCGTCTCAGTGCCCATCTAACGCTGCCACACTGCATTTAGTAGCATTTCAAAAGCGCAACACAGAATTTTTAACTCAGATGACTTCGACGTTCACCATGCTTGACTGCTAGCTTTCTAAATATTTCAGTTCTTGTAAAATACTATGAATTGACGTGACATAAACATAAAACAGAACGCAAGTCACTTTAGTGGAAAATATGAATTGATATCATCTAGAAAATGAAAAACATTTAAATCATTTGTTTCATCAAGCATGTAGTGTATTTCAACATCGCTCCCAAAGGTGTTTCGCAAGTGCTGTGTTGAACACTGCTATTTCCAGGACAGCTCTCTGTTTTTGCACATGCGCAGACTGAAAAAAGCGAAAGAAATCAGAGTAAGGGCACACATGCAATGAGAAGCCTGATCACTCAGCTAAAATCCAGCTCTCTTTATCAGACTTTTTAATCAGGTTTGTAGGCAATATTCCAATCTAGGAAATCAGAGTATGCTGGTAACATCACCACATGAATAAGCAGATTACAACCAAAATCTGATAATGTTTGGATCTTTAAGCTCATTGATCAAGTGCATTAGTGCTAGGGAGGGGGGACAGGGCAGCATGTTAGATGTAGTTTGGACCTAAACTCTGCAGGAATCTCCAGAAGAGGGTTGGTGACCTCTGACACACTTTGTGTAAGTACAGGGTTGAGTTCAGGAAGCTGGGTCATAATTAAATATTGTTTATCATGTACATTAAGAGAAAAGAGTTATCACCAAGAATAATGTACAGATATATGTTACTCACATCATCTTGTTTGTTTATTGAATGAATATCTGAGGCCAAATGAATTAACTCTTGGACTCGACAATAATTTTAGACATTGTTCTGTTCCTTGCTTTACAAAAGTGTTCGGCATCATTAGCATTACTTTCTGACACAGATAAGAAATATTTTGAAAAAAAGCTGGTAGAGAAGTCACTAGAAGTCTTTAGTTGTTTTAATGATTTATTGATCATTGAACAAAATTCAGTTGATTGTTTTTTTCTTTCAGTTTTTTTTTTCTTGTTTACATGTTACCATTGCAGAATTATTTGATTCCACTTAATGAATAAGTGGTGTGTTAGCATATGGCTGGCAATTAAAACAATGAAGCTTCTACCGTTTTAACACAACTCTTCCTTTTTCATTTATATTTTAGTATTGAGAAAATGCACAATGTGTACATTTAAAAACAATACATACATGATTACAGTGCCCATTCACACAAAACAAAAAAAACAAAAAATAAATCACGAAAATCAGGTAACAGACAACAGAATAAATATAATCATTCCTGTTCCGGCTTTAAATAAATATTCACATTAAATTAATAGAGCAGCACAATGCTGTAATTTTATATTTAAGGCAGAACCACTGCCACATTAACAGTACCGACAAGTAGTTCTGCCTTTGTTCTTCATTTAGATTTGTTTTCCAGTTTGTCCTTGAAGCAAAATCACATTCATATGATCAACTCCTCGGCATTTAAAGTAATCAATGTTTTACAATTTGCAAGCATGTAACATTGATTACTTACATACTTACAGAACAAGTGCTTCTGTAAGTAAAGTCTGCAGAATACCATCAGTGAAGAGTGGCGTACCAGTGGACGTAACAGCAGTTGTTTTAGTAAAACTAAAATATACGCAGAAATCCCTTTTACAGTCCCTCATAACAGGGAGTATTTCAATGCTAAAAATGGCAAATTCTAATGATTAACATTAGTAAAAAATAAATATGGCAGCAGCAGGTAGATCAGCAAGAGCTGCAGTGACACCAAACACACCTTTCTGCAACTGATACACTGGCAACTCTCTGAGGCAACGCTGAGGGGAAATCAGAATAAGGTCATGTCTGTGAATCTGATACACACCCAACTGTGTTTCAATAAGACAACAAAGAACTGTTGCCTCTTAATAAAGGACAAGTGAAATTTTTCTGGCAGTTGGACTACAGTCGGATTTTTTTCTATCCTGCTCTTGATTCAGTCGGCTCTGCGTGTTTATGCTTCTCTTAAGGAGCTGAAAAAAGAGACCTAACAAATTTGTTCATATGACAAGTATTATAGACTATTGAGGAAATTTCAAATGACCGTACCAACTAATTCCCTGTTTGCCTCAAACAGTTGCCATTCTCTTTGTCCCAGTTATTCAGTTTGATCTTGTTTTGGCCCAAAACACGCAACAATATGCCATTACTGTACTACAGGGGTGAATACTTAAGTTACAGTAGTGTTGCACTATTTACATGATCAGTCTTTCAGGGTTCAGGAAGTGAGGTCAACAGCCTGCACCGGTGAAGCATCAGAGACTGAGATGGACTTCAGTTGAACATGATCGACTCGGGGTCCTGGTTCATCATTTGGGCCATGTGTCGAAGCACGTCCTTCTTAGTGATGATCCCAAGTAGCCGCCTAAAGAGCAGGGAAATAAATGATATTAGGATTGTATATACATAGTAAACCCATATACATAACCTCATAGTATACTATGGGGTTGATTATTTAAGAAGGACAAAAAATAAATAAATATATAAAAATGACTTTATGTGGCAGCCTGTTCACACCAGGCAGAGGTGGAAATTTAGTTTTTTTCCTCCCTCAGGCAGCAGTAGGATGTCAAATTGAGGGCTTATTTTCTCAGAATATTGATTTAGTATATTGAAATAATGTTAATGTTAATATTAACTTACTAGGCTGGAAGGTTGGAATAATGACTTCTTGTCTTAAAATAATGACTTACTATGGCAAAATAATTACTTATTTTCTCAAAATGTTGAATTGGCATCTCAAAAATAATCTCCAAGAAATGAGGAAAAGAGAGAAAAGCAACAAGAAAACCTGTGGAACTATGTTAGTAAGTGTGTTGACAAGAAAAACACAAACACTGTGCATGGCCTGTGGTCAGCCTTGAAGAATGCAGGTGAATGAGCTTCCTTAGAATATTTGAAAAAACCTTACGCAAGTATGACAAAGCAGCAAGGAAGCCCTTACCCACTGCGAGTGACCAGACACTGGCGCAGACCGAGCTTGCGGAAGATGTCCACCACAGTCTCCATGGGCGTGTGGTCAGTAACAGTGAAGGGGCTGAGGTTCAGGATGCGTCTCAGTTTTAGCGGCTGTGGGTTAGAGGCTGGCAGCTGGGGGGCATCCTCAGTGAAGTACACCACAGAGTTACTGACCACTCCGTCCTGCTTCTGACGGGCATTTTCTGTGTTAAAAGAAGAGAGAAGTCGGGAAAATCACAGATGATGTTGAAGATACTATAATGTCTGTGTGTCAGGTTTAGTAGGCTAGAAGAACAATGTAACCTGGAACCATTTCCTAAGGGGGTAAATAATCCCTGATGATGCTCTGATGGTGACTGAAGGTGGTGGATCAACTGCACAGATTTTGGAATATTATAATGAATTATAACAGTTACAATAAAACTCAATAAAGGGATGTTAACTGTTTCAGGAGACAGTATTTAAATTCTAAAATCACTATTTCAGTATTTGTCATGTTCCATGTTGGCACATCGTCCACTGAGGAGAGAAGGCCTTATGTAGAAGAGGATGAGTCCTCATTGTACCTGCAAGCTGTGGTGTTAGCTCATCTGAGGAGTAAGCCTCTGTTACTCATCCAACACAATTTTCCTCAGCTATTGTTGAATAATAAAATATGTACTGTGTGCTGCCAAATCTTTATGCTATTGAAAATTTTTCAGCTTGTAATACCAGTGCTATTAGCTAAAAATACACTGTAAAAAGTGGAAATGGGCAAAATTTGATTTGAAGTATTTTTGAGGGTTAAATTGAAAATAAATTAAAAAAGAATAATAAATAAAAAAAAAAACTATTTTCCAATGTTTCATTCAAAGTATTTATTCAAGCTGAACAATAAGAGGTAAATTATTATTTAACACATGAACATTTTTATGTTGAACTAACAAACTATTTTTTACGGTGTAAGCCTACAAAACTTCTATGGATGCTTAATTGTCAAAATTAGTCAGAATGCACCTCCCTCGTGAAGTGTTTCGGCAAATCGTTGTTTTAGCAAAAGAAAATTTTCAAAGTATTTAAAAAATGAATTACCAGGTCTCACGAGGATATGTAAAAATCTAAAAATTATCTTTTCTGTATTACTATTTAATAGTTCCCTAGGTCAAATCTATGTATTCAGTACAATTGTGTATTTTTAAAAAATAATTCATTATTTGCATTATTTGTGAATTACACCAAAATCGAATTAGCCTGAGGTCTCATGAAGCACCAATGTGTTTCCTAAAGAATCATAAGTTGAAATGTTCAAAGCTGTAGCACTTACTGCTGGAAGTCTTAAGGAAATCTTAAGGTTTGATGCAGAACCGGAGTGAATTCAAAAAAAGTGTTAGATTGCCCAATTTATTATTATTATTTATTATTATTATTATGCCGGAAATAATGTGAGGCAGAAAAGTGCACTAGTGTTGTATTTGAATGCTGCTGCTGCACCTGTAACAAAAAGCTGTTTTACATAAAATGCATGACTGCTGCATCTCTAGTCCAAAGCAACTGAATTAACGCTGCAAGCTAGTGTGTAAATGACCACATCTATGGAGCTTACTGATAGCGAGGATCAGATCCCTGCGTTGGACGAAGCCAATGAGCCTCTCTGACTCTCGCGAGACCACCACAGGAAAGCCATTGTAGTCCGTCTCCTTGATTAGCGTCTCCACATCCTCCACGGTGGTGCTGTCCTGCGTGAGGACGGACAGCGGAGGCTCGTTCCTGCGCGGCCGCATCACGTCTGTGGCCAGCGTCCGGTGTGTGAACTCGTCCTGGTCCAAGTAGGGGTAGCCGTTCAACCGGATGTGGGCCTCGTAAATGCCCTCTTTACCAAAGGCATCCGCCACCCACTTACTGGTGACCGCAGCGGCCATGAGTGGCACAATGTACTCGAGTCCACCAGTCAGCTCAAACATGATGACCACTAGAGACACAGTCATCCGAGTAACCCCACCTGAGGTCACAGAAAAAGTGTGAGAGATGAACAGAGAGGATTAAAAAAATTAAAACCTTTTAAATACACATAATCTTAAGTTGATGTTCCCTGCTGCTGCTCTGGGGATGAGACAGTGTAAGAAGTGTGTGTAAATTTGAGCATAATATTTTCTAAGCTTGAAAAATGCCTGATTTGCACAGTTATTATCAACAACATCAATATTATTAGCAATAACAGTAAAAATAAAAAAATATCAATACTAATACTAACTGTGTACACAGCCATTCTCGTACTTAAGCGGACGTACTTCTTCTTTTATGTGTACACTGATATAAACAAATGTTGGGTCTATACATTCCATTCAAAGACTTTTGCTCTATACTACTGATATGGAAAATAACTACCTCCCTAAAATACAGAACATAGTTCAGTAAAAGCCACCCTATATAGTGCAATATAATCACACGATCAGTGTTTTATAAAAATAATTACACAATATAGTCACATCACTTTACCATCTGAAAATATAAGTGCATTTTGTTTGTATCACACATCGTTGCAATTTTAACACTATAAGGTTAGTTAAGCTTCGGCCAGTAGTAGGGGGCAGCGCACCTCCTGCTGGACCCTAAATGTCAGCATATGAGAACGACCACTGGCTCATGAGCTGCTGAATGATTTTGTTTTACTGGCTCTCTATCAAACCATCTGCATGAATTAAAGTGTGCTTCATGTAAATTATGTGTATATGAGGGAAAATTAAGAGTGTCTGTTGCAAATAAAATATAAATAAGGCACTCATGCACAGGCGCTTGTTTCCATGCAGTGAAGTGGATTCATCAACTGCCTTCAAATCACCGCTTGTTTCGATGTTGTATGACATTGTACGACGTTGTACAACAAGAGCAGTTCATACGTTACTCAGGGATGGTCAATAATGCACTCCTTCCAATGCAGCTTTGACAAATAAAGGCCACTGTTCATATAAATTTTATCTGTGGAAACAAATGTTTATACTGATCTGACTGTTGATAAAGACCTGAGCGATAAAGCACAGAAATGCGGACTGACAGATTGTCTCATGTTTGCTGTCTGGTTTAAAACTGCCTTGAGGAGTCCTGGAGGAGAAAAGTAGGAATTTTTTAAAAACT